GTCGTAAGCACAACAGCTCCACCCACCTACTGTTCAAACTTTGCAAGGGGCAGCCAATCAGAAGAAATCTGCCTTAAAAGGAGGGGAAATAAAGGTGCTCGGGTGTGAAAGACGATAAACTGAGGGGTTCAGTGTATTCAGAACTAATACACCACCACTATTGGAGTCTGAGAAATAAAAACATGGAGCTTTAAATTAGGGTTTCTAAGGATGTTTAAAAGAGATTAAAGACGCAGGCAAACCTGATCAGCTGATACTCATCCAGTTATGTCCATTAATCAATGGAAAGCTGAGGTACAGATTAAAATTGAAAGAACTTTTAATCAATGTAAAATGTGCTTTTATTTCCTTTTTATTTCACTGCAAAAAATAAACAACATTTATTACATTTGCTCCAACTGATCAAAAACCTCCATGTGTCAGTGTGCATGTCCCACCCTGTTCTCCTTGATGGCAGGGCTATCGTCTCCCAGGGCGACCTTTGAGGCAGCGGAGCGGAACTCTGGCAGACCGAGGATGGGCAGGTACTCGTGGTTCAGGCTCTCGTCCTCCACGATGAGCCGCTCCACCTTTTTCACCACCGGCAGCACCCAGGGCTGGCAGTCATCAGTACGGTAAGCTGGAAGGGACACAAAGCAAAGCAAATGCTAATCCTATTACTCCTATTACTCATGCCTGCACTTCATAAAAAAGCTTTTTATGCTTAGTATGACGTTGATAAATATTTACACCTGATATACTACATAACTAAATACAAACACTTTGTTTCTGCTGCTTGTGTCACTGTGTATAGCGCCATATCACCGAGTATTACAAATTCATAGATAATACTTCAAAGATAAAAATGGTAATAACACAGCACTGCAGTCTGCAAATAGTAAAGTGAACAGAAGAAAATGCACACATGAAAGAATAAACTGCCATTTAACTTCACATGATGCCATATAAACTTTGAAGGTCACAGGCAAACGTGTGTGTAGCACATATCTGACTCCTTAGGAACTTGTGCTCCCTCATACTGGTCTGGAGTGTGGGCAGAGCAGTATCACATATCAGGGTTTGGCAGCTGCAGTACACAGTCACTCAGGGTCCAAAGGCGAGCACACTTAAAAGGTCAAGCATGCTTATTGTGGCTTTGGGGTATGCAAAATAATTCTGTGTGTGGCCAGTACAAAATCTGAATAGAGCCCAATCTGACATCACTTTACCTGAAAACGCAGATCAAGTGGCAAACAGGCCTGGAGAAATCTGGAACCCAGAAAACTCTTCCTGTTGCTCTTGTGGACTCGCTTTCAACATAATTTAACATATTAACTGATCCATTATAGAGTTAATATAAAACTACTGGAATGGTTTCTCCAGGCCAAACTGGTTTTCTGTGCTCAGTTTTGTTTTGGCAACAACCTGAAAAAGTACAACTACTGTCTCAGTCCACGATGAATCATCAGAGAAAGTGAATTTTACTAATCCTGTAGGGAGCACTTTGATCGTTAAAGCAGATTCTGCCCATTAGCTTTTGCTCATATTTTGCATTTTGACTCTTGCCATAAAGTGTACATGCAGGTTGTGCACATGAAAAGGTGACAAACTGCTAGCTCTACATTACATCCTAAAGGCAGAATATGTTAATAGATTCAACAGCAGCTACATCAGAGTTTTGCCTTATTCTGGCTGACCTGAAGTAACTAAGTATTAGTTCGCTTTAGCCAGAAGCATTGGGCTAGGAGCAGGATAGACTAGGCTCATACGAGATGACACATCTGGCACATTGGGGTTAATGTTGAAACTGTTGGGATACAATGTCCACCTGTTAACCTATTACAGATGACTAAAGATTGTCTGCTGGTTTATTACAGTTTATAATTAGTCAGAATGAGGATAAAATAACACTAAAGAGATATTCTACAGTGCACGTTAAGTAAGAGACACAAACTAGCACAAAACCTTCCAAATGAGACACGGCTTTAGCATTCATTCTAAAAACTGAACACATTTTCTTACAAAACTTTCCTCACCAACCAAGCAAACTAATGACAGTTTCAAGGACTTACCAATTATGTATCACACAATGATTGACAACGTCGCAACAAACACGACTCGTAAGATTACATATTAAAAAACAGTAAACTACTTTGATGGTACTACGTAAGAAGACTTCAGCATGCAAGTTCCTGCTTTGACAGGATGTCAGTGTGTAAGTGGAGAATGATGAGTTCAAGGACAGATGGACAAGTCAAACAGGTCACAACCGCTATGCGTTTTAACATCATGGTTTTAAAGTCTTTAAATGAGAAGTGTTTTGTGGTACGACATGAAGCCCTACTTCATGGAATTGTCAATACTTCCAGTGAGAAGTGTAACATTTGCAAAAACAATGAAAAACCCGAGCAATTTACTTGTCAACATGAGAAGAAGCTAATGCTAGCTTTGCCGCTAGCAGCTTGCAGCGAAGGTCATATATCAAAAGCTGCTTACGTGTGCGAACATGATACCATCGCCATCGCCCGAATGTACCAAACAATGTAAGCTACAAAAAGACAGGAAACACAGCTGATGCGATGTGTTTATGCTTTACAGTGCCACTACAAGAGAGAGCAAGCCAACCTAGCTTTAGCATTAGCCGACATCTAGCATCTCTTACCTCCGACGCCCAGATTCACCTTCTGTGGATGGGTGTCCTCTCTGAAGTCAGCGGTCAGTTTGAACACGGCTACCGGGGGAGCCTGTGGGACGTCGCTAAACAGGGACATGGCTCGGGATGAAGTAGACGATGATCCCGGTGTTGTGCAAGAGGAGCAAATGAGGAATGGGTGTTTCTAGAGACAAACCGGGTTCACAGGTTCACCTTCACTCAAACTGGACCAGGACGCAAGAAATAGGCATCAGTCCAGCTACCAATAGGAAGGGGCAGAAAACAGACGCAGCCTGTCAAGTAGCCAATGAGAGCGGAGAAATATCTTGTAGAAAAAACTACAATTATACCATAAGAAAGAATATAATAAACCTGTGACGAGTGATAATAAGGCTATAGTCTTTGTAGTCTAAATAAGCCCACCTCAATGGACAAATTCGTACCATCGGGATTTGTCCCATTTTAAAAGTTAGCTTATCTTTAGGGACCTATATGTCAATACTGTTTGCCTTATATGCACATTTTTAGCTGTCGTGAATGACATTATTGAGAATATTATAACTATTCTTCTTCCGTAGTTACATCCAACCTATATAAACTCATGTATGTTTTTCATAAACAGTTCGTGATAAGAGTAAGTGCTTCAGATAATCAGACTTTCTTATCAAACCAACTTCATTGATTGAAGTCTGATAGTGCGTTGATGTAGGATCTGCAATCTGCCACAAGGGGTCAGTGTTGCTCTGCAGAGAAATATGCAGAGTTAGTGGCGTGTCATGATTGTAGTTTAAGTTAAACTTGGGCTAAAACGTCAGTTTGGACCTGTGATTTCGCAGCAGTAAAAACTATACCAACACACAACACTGGAATGGTTTGACCAAAGCATGTTTCCTTCTTCTTCTTCTTCTTCTTCTTTTTTTTTTACCCCTTTTTTGAGTCTGTAGCTTTTTTGGATTATTAAGGGAACCTCCAGTCATTTGTCAAGAGTAAATAAGTACAAATTAAAATGTAAAATCTGTCAAATTACAACAGTTAGGATTTTAATTAATGGTAGCAAATAAAATCCTTTATTGCATTTATTTTTTCCACTTTAGTTGTCTTACGTCATAGAGCATTAAGTATCTTTTTGGCAGTTTTCTGAAAGTAAATAAATAATTTGTGCATCTCACTTTTATGGAATTTGTACTGGACTATTTAGCAGTACAAGTAGTCCTGCAAAATATACAGAATATTTTTAAGTTTTTGTTACGCTATTATCAATATAGAATAACTTAATTGATAAGTGTTTGAATTTATTTTTCACTCTTTAAATTTGTTTAGATAAATAATTAGAATGATTAATTCATATCCTTTTTAATTAACTGATAACATAATTGTTAGTCTCTTATAGAGTGATAGAGATGGTCTAGTTGGAGCAACTTTTACCACCTTTATATACTGTTGTGTAGTTTAATCTATATCACTGTTTCATATATCATACACTGACGTGTCTTCAGGTATAAGAAGTCTCAAGTTACTTTAGCTGTCATTAAAAAGTGTAACATCTGCTTGTAAATTATAATAAAAAGTATTAGGTTAAAAAAAATCATGCAATGAAAACGTTCAAGTCTCACTTCAAAATTTTTACTTCCGACTTGCGTAGTAAGTGTCCATCACAACACACTTAAAGCATAGATCATTACACACAGAGACACGGCGTCTCCTCATAAACTTTTTGTAAACATCCAGGTGTGTTTTTCTTTTCTCTTCTTCCTACCTCTTCCCTTCACTCTCTCGCGTTTCTTCTCTCAGGTCTGAAGTGTCTGATGAATAGCCTCGGTTTCACTCCTGCATAGCCTCCACTTGCGGGCCTCCTGCAGCTAAAGTAGCATGTTTTTGTGTCAGTCAAGTGTGTGACTTGCTGATGAATTCACACACACACACACACACACACACACACACACACACACACACACACACATTATCCAGTTCCCATCAGCTGCTATGCAAGTTTTAGCAAAATCTAAACTAAGAAACAAACTCTCTTTCTCAGGTCAAAAACTTAAAATCGATTTTTCTTTTTTTTTTCTTTTTCTTTTAGATGGACATCGGGTCACATCACATGTTTGCACACACACGCACACACACAGACACTGCTGCTCCTCTCTCGTCCTGTCATTAGCAGACATGATGAGGCCTCCTCCTCTCCTCCACTTTTTTCTTTTTCTCTCTGCTTCTCCATAAAGCACTCCAGTGAACCATCAACGGGGTAAAATTTCAAAGGGCCGAGGGGCTAATGCTCCTGGATGAAGCTGACTGAGTCAATTTGTCGACATGATGGACGTTTTGTGGCCTCAGCTCCTGCTTTCCTGCTTGGCTGCAGGGCCCACAGAGGCTTTTTAGGTAGGTTAAAAAAGGAAGGAAAAAAAGACAGAGTAAGATGTCTTACTGAGAAACCTTAATTTGACAAGTCAGAATGTGAAGCAGGTTCACAATAGCTAATTGCACGCACACACTTGGTTGTTAGAGTCAATCTAAAACCATTTTGCACATTGATCAACAACCCATAGCTATTTATAATTTACAACTTTGATGTATTTTTCCCTTTCAATCTTCAACAACTGGTCAGCAAAATTAAAAAAAAAAAAAAGAAGCTATTTCAGTAAAAGAAAAGGTGCAAAAGTTTAGCATTTTAAATTCCACTGAAATCAACAGGCTGCAGAAACATTAGCAGCATGCTAACATCCTCACAACTCAGCATTTGGTCTTTGTTGTCTGCTAGCAATTTTTATTTATTAGTCATTTTCACCTGATGAGGATGTGTGGAAAGTTGAGCGTCAAGTAATTACTATTGAATCTGATGGGAAGGGGAATGCCAAGCAGTACTAGAGTAGTTTTTTCATGCTTAGTGAATTGTGGTCATGAAAATGAAAACTATATATTTCAGATATGTCATGTAAATAAACAATCAACTCTGAATAAGGGTTGAAATGGCAAAAAAAAACTCTGTAAGATCAGCTTGATGGTCTTTACTGGAACTAAGTCAAACTGTGTGATCCTTATCTAATAAACAATGAATACAAATTTCTCTAACTATCAAGTACTACTTTTACATGAGAGGAAAGAAACAGTTAGAGGGTGGAGGCCTGGTGTCTCAGAAATGACAAGAAAAATCACTTTTAAATCATTTTAAATCATTCATTTAACACTGAACTGATTTTAATTGTGGGCAGAGCACTCGCATAAACATGCATTAGGAGAACAACATGGCAGCTGCACTGAACATTATCATTATATTTACAAGGACATCCTGGGAAAGACAAAAGAAAAACTCACAAGAACTCACTTATCAAGGTAGCTTGGACACACACACACACACACACACACACACACACACACATTAATATGATGAGCCCACAGCTTCAGCTTTTCTGGGAAAGCTTTGCACGAGGTTTAGGGTTAGTGTTTGTGCGTTTATGGGAATTTTGGATCACATATGTGAGGTCAGACGCTGATGGACAGGAAGACCTGGCTCACAGTCTGAATTCTGTCGGGTTGAGGTCTGGACTCTGTGTAGGCTAATCAAATTCTTCCACACCAAACTCGTTCATCCATGTCTTTATGGACCTTGCTTGGTGCACCGGTTCCCCGCCATGTTGGAACAAAAAGGGGCCATCCCCAAACTGTTCCCAAAAAGCTGAGAGCCTGAAATCATCCAAAATAGTTTTGGTATGTTGAAGCGTTAAACGTTCCTTCCAGTGGAACTAAGGGGCTGAGCCCAGCTCCTGAAAAACAACCTCAAACCATAATTCCTGCTGCATCAAACGTTACACTGCACACTGCAGTCAGACCACCAAACCCAGACTCATCCATCAGATTGCCAGATATTTGTCATTCCAGAGAACAGGTTTCCTGTGTCCAGTGTGTTCTGGAGTCCAGTTACAGCATGCTTTACATCACTGCATCCGACACTATGTATTGTGCTTGGTGATATAAGGCGTGGATGCTGCTCGGCCATCGAAACTCATCCTGTGAATTCTCATTGTACACATGTAAGATTATCTGAAGGCCACATGAAGTTTGGAGCTCTGTAGCGACTGGCTCTGCACACTGGCTCTGCATCCGCTGACCCTACACTGTGATTTTCTGTGACCTACCACTTCACGGCTGAGTTTCTGTCATTCCCAATTGCTTCCACTTTATTATAATACCACTAACAGCTGACTGTGGAATATTTAGTAGCGAGGAAATTTCATATTTGGAATGGTTGCACAGCTGGCATCACAGGAAGACGCTGGAATTCTCTGATCTCCTGAGATCAACTAATTCTTTCATAAATGCTTGTAGAAGCAGACTGTATACCTTGGCGCTTTATTTTATACACCTGTCGCCATGGAAGTGATTGGAACGCCTGAATGATTTGGGATGCTGACTGAATACTTTTGGATATACTGTGTATGTGTGAATAGCAGTTTTTATAGCTACTTTGGTGGGAGCTCGGATATTTGTTACGGTGGATATGTGATGATGATAAATCATGTTTTAAAACTACATCCTAAAGCTTAAAACCTAGATCCATACTAACCAGGAAAAGGTAATAATAAAATTCAGCCAAACGAGACCTGTTAGATTATGTGATATTCCCAGCCGGAAAAGCTGCTACATTTGGATTTTCTCACTCAGTGCCTGTTAAATCGTATCAAGGCCAACATAACAGCACTGGACTGTGCTGTGTGTGTATTTAACAGCCTGGGCAAAGCACCTGCACAGTCACAGTCAGACTCTCCAACACACACCATCAGCCTCCGATGTTCTCATTCCTGTGTGTTTCATGTGGGAAATATCTGGGGAATGGGGAAAATCCCTCCGCTCTCTTTCT